TACACACACACACACGTAGGGTAAACATATCCTTATGGGGACCGCTCATTCATTTCAATGGGAAAAATGCTAACGCTAACTATGACAACCTTAACCCGTTTCCTGCCCTAACCATAACCATAAGTAACCAAACAAAATACAAGAGTATTTTTAGTTTTTTCATAGCAGTCACCGATTTTTATAAAATAGTTTGGACATTGTGTTGCCATAAGGATAGGTATACCTGCTCACACACACACACACACACACACACACACAAAACCACGTTGGCATACCTGTTTAAATTGGGACCTTCCATTCATTTCTATGGGAAAAACCCTAATCCCAATCAGGACATCGTTAATCTCTACCCAGCCCTAACCTTAAGCATAAGTAACCAAACAAAATACAAGACTTTGGTATTTTAATTTTTTTGACAAATGTCCCCAAAATTAAGGAAGTTTCAGGTTTTACCACTCTATGGGGACATTTTGGTCCCCAAATGTGATCTGTGCAAACCCACAAATGCACACACACACAAAGTGCACACTCTTGTTTACTGTAAGGAGTGAATTAGCGTAAACCATCACCTTCTGATGTTCTCCTCCATCAGATTCCTGTCGGGTCACTCTGGACGCCAACACAGCAAACAGAAACCTCCGTCTGTCTGAGGGGAACAGAGTGGTGACATGGAAGAGAGAGACACAGTCATATCCTGATCACTGGGAGAGGTTTGACTCATGGTTCCAAGTGCTGTGTACGGAGGGTCTGACTGGGCGCTCCTACTGGGAGGTTGAGTTCAATGGAGTTGGGGTCGGTATAGGCATCACATATAAGGGGATCAGCAGGAATGGATGGGGTAATGACAGCGCACTTGGACACAATAACAAGTCTTGGTGTTTGTACTGCGATTCTGATAGTTACTCATTCTGGTATGATAATGAGCAAACTGAGGTATCTGCCCCCCCCTCCCCCAGGATAGGGGTGTACCTGGATCACAGGGCAGGAACTCTGTCCTTCTACAGTGTCTCTGACACAATGACCCTCCTGCACAGGGTCCAGACCACGTTCACCGAGCGTCTCTATCCTGGGTTTACATTTTCGTTTTGTAAATGGTATGAATCTTCAGTTCAACTGAGCAATATTTAATAAAACACTGATTCTTGAGATAAGGGACAAAACATATCCTACAAAGGAAAGCCTTATTTGTGTTAAAAATAATAAATAAATGCATAATCTAAATCTAAAGTAAATGTGTATACAGGGTTATGGCCATTCTGGAATGCATTCATTGATTCCAATCCAAATGGAACTGGAGCTGGGATTGGGGGAAAAAACTATGGGGAAATGTACTGGAATTGAATTCTAATTTCAGGGAGATTTAAATTCCAACTCCAGTTCCATTTCCTGATTTGGATTGGAATTGATGAATGCATTCAGGAATGGCGCCAACCCTGACTCATGACAATAAATTCTTATATTTTAAAATGATTTTATTACACAAAATGTACCTTCTGTATCTAAAGTTAACCTCTCCTCAGGTCACAATGTCAAACTGCCAATAAGAGTGTTTAAAATGCTACAGGCATATATTTACAAATTTACTTAAAAATGGGATCAGAAAGATATGAAATAATATATTAAATGAACTTCTTGCCTATTTTCAATGAGAGAATACCTGATATATAACAAAGTTGTGTCCTCACTTTCAGTCAACTTCGTCAGATTTTTTTTTATGTCAGATATAAAAAAAATGCATGATCCTGAATAAATCAGGCAATGTTATAGTCAGCTATAACTCTAAGGACTGTTGATCAGAATGATAGATGACCTAGTAAGTTTTGTATTAATTTATATTTTAAAGAAACAATGTACATATTGTGACAGTCACAACCTCCACATGTCAAAACTGTCTTCTCATTATGAAAATTATAGTTAGGAATTGAGGAATATAATTTTGGCACTTGAGGTAGGTTATGTAGGCAGCTTGCAACTCAGAAATAAGCAAATGGCTTCAGGGTAAAACTTACGATTAAGAAGAAAAAGTATTCCTTTTTATCAACTCCATCAGATATGAACTCCATCAGGTTGTTGTTACAGTGTGGCATGGTGAAGGAGGGATGATCCACGTAGCGGTTCTGAACAAAGGGGCTTTATTAATAGGTGGAACTCAAAAGGAAACCAGAAACAAAAAGCCCAAGAGGATCACACCAGCCTCAAACCATAGACAGTAGCGATGCCTCTGTCAGAGCCACATGCTCAACCCTTTGAGTGACATGGCAGCCCAAGGAACACAAGCACACACACAAGGAACTAAAACAAACCTGGGAAATAAGGGAAGATGGGATGACTAGTGACTGCCACTGGCCAAATGAGGAAATGACACATGAACCAGGGCAGGACAGGGACTGATCCTGACGGTTTTTTGTCTGATGGAGATGGTGTTGATATTGCTCTCTAAAAGTTTTTATGTAGTATTATAATTCCATTTTTTTATATGGGGAAATATAAGATTATTTCATGGTTTTATTTACATGCACATTTACATACTCTTTTTTATAACATGTTTACATCAACTTGTAGAGCATAGAATGGCTTGTGACATTACATACAATGCTTTGCTTTGTTTTGCAATTTACGTTTTTAATTCTATGTATTAAATTAATATATTTCTAAACAACAGTTGATATTTAGTTACTTTATTACACGATTTCTTGCATGCATGTGCAAGCACACACCTACAGACATAAGATTATACATATAATCTTTTAGATTTTTTTTTTATAAAAATTCTAATGGATTTAACTGAACTTTATTATAGGCAAGCATGGGGAGGAGGAAACTATCTGTAAAGGAGCAAAGAAGGAGAAATAGGGATATCAAAGGCAAAGAAGAGAGAAATAGGGATATCAAAGGCAAATAAGAGAGAAATAGGGATATCAAAGGCAAAGAAGAGAGAAATAGGGATATCAAAGGCAAAGAAGGAGAAATAGGGATATCAAAG